TTGCTAGCGTTACTGGCTAAGAAACATTTTAAAACAAAAATAAAGACATCTTGGAATTTTAGGAATATCATTTAACCGAAAGAAAACGCTTATAAAAATGTAATAAAATCGAAAGTATTTTTTTTTATCCGTGGATGTTATGAGAGTTTAAAATTCTGTGTGTCTCTGTAAATTTTTCATAAATATAGTAATACAGCTTTCGAAAAATAATTCAAGTTTTTGAATGATAATATTTTTACAGATTTTGGAAATTGCAAGTGATAGTTTTTTACTATAACGCCCCTCCCCTACCCCCCACACAATGTAGGTCAGTTGTAACTTTATGGACTTACAACTCTAAGCCCTTCAGTGGCACAGCGGTATGTCTGCGGACTTACAACGTTAGAAACCGGGTTTCGATACCCGTGGTGGGCAGAGCACAGATATTCCATTGGGTAGCTTTTCATTAAGAAAACAACAACAACAATTAATAAAGCAATGTTGTAAAGATATCAAGAAAATCCCCACTAATCAAAGAGAAAATATTCGTCTATTATAAATAATATCATATTGTGTATTTGCCCATTAAAATAATCTGAACAATTGAGCTTATGCAAAGTCATATCAAATACACACACACATATATATGAGGTGTTTAGATTTTCTGTAGTGGATTCATACTTCCAAAATACTATCACCATTTTCGTTCCATATCCTAATATATCGGATGTAACTATAGTAACATAAAACTTATCAAAAGTACTGGGTTAGGTATCGGTAGGTTCAAGGCTCGATCCCACAATAAGCCGTTTAACACTCCCCGTTCTTTCAGATATGTGTATGTTTTAAAATATTAAAGTTAACATCGCTATTCGGTTAAAAGTAACAGTGTTGTTGGATGGTTGTGTTGATTGGTTATCTTTCTTGTTAGTCAGCAGTTCTAACTTACTAACGACTATGCCTGAACATTGAGGTCTCTGACTGTTTCATTTAGCTATATGTCATACAAGGTGTTGGTCAAATACTGCGTCGAGCAGCACTTGCGAAACGTTTCTAAATGTTTATTGTTATCAATTAAATAAATATATATATAAGCTTATTGTCTCTAATATAAATCTATTTTCAGGGATTTTTTAATTTTCAAAACATTTCTTAACTTTTAATAATGTATCTGTAAATTCTAATCACGTCCGCTCAGACCGCTCTTTCTGGATGAGTTTTTGATGGACTGGACATTGAGTGAGGTTTTGATAGTGTGGACTGGACATTGGGATCTTACTTCCTGATTCCCAAATATTATGCTTGCTTTGGTGTAATTGTATTAAATGTCATGTCGAAAAAGATCACTAGAGACGCTTTAATTATGAACATGATTTGTTTGTTGGGCTATATGCCGTGTCCGCGAGGGGAATCGAACCCCTGACTTTAGCATCGTAAGTCTGTAAAATTACCGCTGTCCTACTGGTTGCAAGATATATCTTACAAGTGAAGCCTACAAGTACAGGTTGCAAGGGCGATGTTACATTAACTCGTGTTATGTAGCCTGTCCAAGTTTATGTCAGGAGTGAATGAAAAAAGTTCCTGAGCTTAGAGGTGTTGTATTCTACAATAACTCAACTACAAGTGGCGTTTCGAGGAACCTCTAGAGTTTGAAATGTAATATAAAGCACAGATATCGTAAAGTGAGTAACAGTGTGTTATAAGTTACAATACCAACATATGAAACAAAAGAGGATTGTGTATTTTGATATGCTAAAAATAACAGTGACAGCAGTTAATTTTGAAGCTCTTTTTTAACGATCAATAAGCTGGTATGCTTAAGCCTGGATTTTAAACAATTTTGGCCACTTTACTTTCTTAGCAAATATATATATATACTTATACAGGATTTCAATATAATTACTATGCCTATATCAAACGACTTTCGTTGAAATTTCTGTTTAAGTTTTTCACGTTACTGCTTAAAAAACAGATTTTTTTGTGTCAATGTTATACCTCCGATTACCATTCCTTCACCATCAGGATAATATAAAAAAGTATTAAAGCGACGTTTTATGTCCCGATACACCCTACCATCCATCGAACTGTTCATGAAAATTACGCTTCACCTTTCCTTCACCATCAGGATAATATAAAAAAGTATTAAAGTGACGTTTTATGTCCCGATACACCCTACCATCCATCGAACTGTTCATGAAAATTACACTTCACCAACTTAGTGTAGTTCACACCATATCAGTTGTTATTCGTGTAGTTTGGTAGGATGAATAGTGTCTCAGCCAGTACTGTGTCTGTCATAACCTAGCCGGCCTGAAGAGTATTAGTATTTTCCGAAAGGGCTCGTCGGCACTGAATATAGCAAACATATTGTAATTGTTCTACATTCTTTACTTTCACAAATACGTTCTTAGAATAAGCTATAAAGGATTACTTTTCTAAGTGTTATCAGCCGCCGACTGGCTCTTCGAAGCCTTCTTGGTTCTTCCAGAGAGATTTCTACAACGGTTTAATGAGAATGATGTCTGTTGATTGGACACAGATGTCAAATCGCTCCATGTGACTGTTGCCGTTCAGGAGTATTGACCTCACTTCCTCTGAGGTCACGGGAGAGACGTCACGCCCCATTGATAGTCTCCGCCATGTTTAGCTATCGTATTTCGGCGTAACAGCAGAGTAAGTGAAGTAGGGTGGGTTCAGTAGGGAGGAGGCGGTGCGTGTTGATTGGATTCAGTCTAAACCATTAGGTTCTGCTACTAAAGCTCTGCCGTTCGATTCCTTGAAAGGGAAACTGACGCAGTCTTTGCCACATTTTTTGTTGTTGTTACATATAGAAGTTTGAAAGCATGTTTATTAACCTAGTATTCTACTTTCTTGAGTGATCACCAAACACATAACTTTGTTAAAAAGCAACACAAAGACCAAAAACATATATTAAACCTTGTATTATACTTTCTTGAATGGTCACTAAACACATAACATTGTTAAAGAGCAAAGGGCAGAACATGGACTAAGCCTAGTATTCTACTTTCTTGAGTGATTACTAAACACATAACTTTGTTAAAAAGCAACACAAAGACCAAAACATATATTAAACCTTGTATTCTACTTTCTTGAGTTATCACTGAACACAAAACATTGTTAAGGAGCAAAGGCCAGAACATGGACTAAGCCTAGTATTCTACTTTCTTGAGTTATCACTGAACACAAAACATTGTTAAGGAGCAAAGGCCAGAACATGGACTAAACCTTGTATTATACTTTCTTGAGTTATCACTGAACACAAAACATTGTTAAGGAGCAAAGGCCAGAACATGGACTAAAACTTTCTTGAGTTATCACTGAACACAAAACATTTTTAAAAAACAACAAAAAAGCCAGATCATAGATTAAACAGTTAATTTATACTTGTTAGCATGGAGCTGAAAGACTTGATTTTACTTTGCAATGATTCAAAGAAACACCGTTTCTTCAATTTTTGTATTATTCACCTTGTCCGTTGGAATTGGTCGATACAGTATTAACAGTAACATACATTTAAAGTGTTAATAACATAAAAACGAGTAATATACTTTCATAAGAGTGGAGCTAAAAAACCTCACTGTAAATACTAAAACTTCGATTGGTTTGTTTTTTGTAAAGCTAAGCCACATTAAGCTGTCTACTGTGTCCACCGTGGGGAATCGAACCCAGACTTTTATCGATGTAAGTCTGAATAATTTACCACTAACTGTATTACTGGGAAACCTAAAATTTCGAAAAGAAAAAAGAATTAAACTCCATGAACTTCTAATATGCTACAATGAAATGAGTATACTATGGTATAGCCGATTACGTGATTTTGGTAGAATCTTGATTTCTATGAATTCAAATTGGATTTCAAGAAAGAAACTATCATTTTCTCTAATTGGTCAAATGATAACAGATAAGTGCTTACAAAAATGAACTATTTTCAACTATCGATTGAGGCATTACAACGAACACTTAATTATAGAGGATGTCCAAACTTTTTCTGATGAAAACATTTCCCATGTCCTGGTTTACAATACAGTTACATAGTATCTATATTTCATCTGGTTCTATATTCATATTTGACGATTAGCTTCAAACGCTTACAACACCAAAGATTTTTTAAACAGTTGTTCTGTCTTACATTGCTTCCCTCCAGTGGCACAGCGGTATGTCTGCGGAATTATACTGCTAGAAACCGGGTTTCGATACCCGTGGTGGACAGAGCACAGATAGCTCTTTATGTAGCTTTGTGCTTAATAACAAACAACAACAAGTTTACATTGCTACTTTTTCAAAGTTTGTCCCCCGGTGTGACAGCGGCAAGTGTTTAGATTTACAACGCTAGAATCAGGGGTTCGATTCCCCTCGGTGAACATTACAGATAGCCCAATGTGGCTTTACTATAAGCAAACACACACTTTTCAAAGTTTAACAGTTCTTAATTGGTTTTAATTTATTTTATATTTTACTGTTATCCCCCATTAATTTGTCACATTCCTGTTAATCTAAGACTATCAAAAAGTAAAAAATTCAAAAACAACACACGCATAATTGGTGTGATTTTTTTGTGATTCTTTTTTTTTTTCATTTTAAAACTTGAGTTCTCACTTGCTCAACTGTAATTAAGAAATTTGCACCCTTGGTGGCTCAGATTAAATCCAAAGACTTATTACGCTAAAAATCGGGTTTCGATACCTGCGGTGAGCAGAGTACAGCTATCCTATTGTTTAGCCTTTGCACTTAACAACAAACAGTTAAGAAGCTTAATTCTTGATGAAGAAAGTTTTCCGTAGAAATTAAGCTCCAAGATATGATTAGTTTAGAATATCGATAGTTCGTTCATTTCTATCGTATTTATCAAATATTTAAGCTACGTATGTGTAGATTCTATTGTAGTGAAAATAAGATTGACGTTCAGCCAACAGTTTTTTAAATTGAAATAATAAGTTATTCAGATTAAGTTTAGAACATGTAAAAGCCTACAGAATAAAAGTTTTTTTATCTTGTTTCAGAATCAACCAATAGATGTCACTCGTCAGAAGAAAGGAAAAAGCGGCCTCGAACGGCATTCACAGCGACTCAGATCAAAGCTCTCGAAGCTGAGTTCGAACGAAGCAAGTATCTGTCGGTTTCGAAAAGAATGCAACTTTCCAAAACACTGAAACTTACAGAAACTCAGGTAAGTTAATGCACACGTCCATCTTGATCTTTTGTTAAGTAAATAAAATACACGTTCCATCTTGAACTTTTGTTAAATAAAACACTCCTACCATCTTGAACTTTTGTTAAGTAAAACACACGTTCCATCTTGAACGTTTGTTAAGTAAAACACACGTTCCATCTTGAACTTTTGTAAAGTAAAACACACGTTCCATCTTGAACTTTTGTTAAGTAAAACACACGTTCCATCTTGAACTTTTGTAAAGTAAAACACACGTTCCATCTTGAACGTTTGTTAAGT